AAAAGTGGGCTAACAACCTCTGTATCAGAAATTACGATTTATCTCTTACAAGACTACCGTTTATTTTTACGACTCTTGGCCTATAAGAATAATAACCTTGATGAATTAGATCGGGAAGGGGGGATAAATCAAGAGCGGTTTGTTAGAATACAGTGACGATCTGAAAGAATCGAATGGGCAGTGACATAGAGAGAATTGACACATTCGAAGCGTTAACTGCTTGGATTGATTCCTTTTTAAACTATAGTTTTAAGAGGGGTTATCTAAAATATATTTTCTGCATAGAATTAACAATAATATTCTAGAATAAAAATTTTCTAAAAGTTGCGAAATGATGAAAATTAAACTTATTTTTAATATGGGAAGATAAACATTCTTTTTTCCTGTAGAACAGAAATTGAAATTTCCTAGCAAGCTTCCAACATGAGTTCTCAGTGAGTGAACTTTAAAGAGCTACAGCTAGTTTTGGACGAATCAACGTTCTCTTAGTAAAATAAAAAGATTCTTTATATCAGTTAGCGAGCGAATGACACATCTGTACCTTGCAATGCAAGGATTCCCTCGAGACCAGCATTCAGAGATCCCGGGTTCAGCTCCAAATATGGGCAATGAACACTTCAATGTATTAAGCTCCTAAAATATTTATGTTCTTGTTCTTTTAATGTTTAAAATGCCATTCTCTTAATTTATATGTTATGTGTTGTGCCGAAGATTTGCTAATGGTGCAAAAGCTTTGTGTACTAATGTAAAAGTATATTGTATTAAATCACTCAAAATTTCTTGTGCATTAATCCGCTTAAAATTCCTTGTGTATTAAAACACTCAAAATTCCTTGTGTATTAAATCATTCAAATTTTCTCGTGTATTAATCCATTCAAAATTTATCGTATATTAATCCATTAAAAATTCCTTGTGTATTAAACCATTCAAAATTAGTGTATTAAATCATTTAAAATTCCTTGTATATTAATCCATTCAAAATTTAAGCAACGTTGTTCAAAAGTGTGAAATTTTTGGAATAGGGAATAGCTTTATAACAAATTATCATAGTTCCCTTTTGTACTTTTGTGGTGTGAGTGATTAGCACATCCAACCAACCTTAAAAGTTCTTCCGTTTTCTGCTATGAAATTATAAAAGCCTCTGCACAAGTGCTTGAAATAAAATATACTGAAGAGCAGTTCAACACCAGCTGGATTCAGTCGGCTAGGGTATCGTACCTCTTCTCCGTCTATCTATTAAGTTTTGGTGGCGTATCTAAGGAATTATCATATTCCTTTTTGTGGCGTAAGTAGTTAGCACGAGTAACCAAATTTTAGAAGTTGCTCCCGTTTCTTCTCTGTAAATATAAAGCGGCTGTACACATGTGCTGGACATAAAATGTAGCGAAGGGCAGGTGAACCCCACTTGGATTCAGTTGGCTGGGTCTTGCGCCTCTCTCCAGTCGCCTATTAAGTTTTTGGTGTATGATCTAAGGAATTATTCATTCCCTCGTGAGTGCTTTGTGTGTTTAAGTAACTAACGCGTCTGAAGGCGATAATGGTCAGAATCCCGCATATGGCATAATAAATGCTTTCTTATCTCCATACTCAAATAAGTATAATATTCTCTATACGGCATACATAATCAAATTCATTTCCCGTTGCTGATTATAAGAACTGCTGGAATTAACTGAAGATAGAATGTAGTACAAATTTTCAAAGGTAGCTGTAGATCACAATAAGTTATTTAACATTTGTAAAACTAGATTTCAGTTAAAATTAGTGCGTGATATTTGCAACCAACGATGCTCATAAAGGTCATGGCCAAAAAGCTTATTGATATCAGCGTCGTTGTAGAGGAGACACAAAAGTAAAATATTTCTTACGTTCAAAGCGGCTTCAATACCGAATCCTGGTTAAACGAATCTAAAAAACGCCCTCTCAACTTCAAAGCGAAACAGGAAACAATCCACACGAAGTCGGAAACGAGTTTCCCAACAAAGTTACTTATTAATATTCAAACACATGTTGCTCGCATCTTCTCTGCCTCCGCCTACACCCCTCTTTCATTCCAGGAAATGCGAAATCCCAACGCTCATTAACTTAGTAATTGACTAAACGGGCAAGGGTGAACACAGTGGCGGTTACGGGTCTGGTGTCTGTCACTACTTGCGCGAGGCAAAATCACAGCTAATTTCGCAAAGAGCGGGAAGGAAGGACGAGGGGTGACGTATTTTCTACCGCACAGAGCCGTTGCATAATAGAAGATTTTACAGCATGCGATAGATACAAAGGATGGAGTGTGAAGTTATCGTCTGCAGTTTATGCGAGGATTGTGCTTTCTGAAGTGGCGGCTGATTACGAAAATTAAGAAAGCACTTTGAATGCTGCAATTTTATGTAGGTGAAAGATTTAAATGCTATATATAACTTGTAGTATTCAAATCTGTGCGCGTCTGTTTGTTTGTTTGTGGCATCATCTCCTCCGGAACGACAGAGAGTTAGAGTTTCAGGAGACGTAACTCCGCATTCCAAAAATTCATGAGAAGCCATTTTGACTATTCCCATTTTCGTACCACTTTAATCAACAGAGATATTAATTAAAAACTCTGAAACGCTAATTTTTATGCTTGCGAGTGGCAACGGTCTACGGAGTAGCTGGAGATAGAAATGCTTTATTTCGTTGCCACTGCTCGCTTTCAAAGATAGAATTTGTTAATAAAAAAATTGTACGTTTTAAAAAATATAAAATAAAAGAAAATCTGAAATTTTTCAGATTTTAAATTACGTCCAAAGGGGCGTTTTCTTAACATATTGTGTGTTACCTTTTATTTATTAAATATCACGTTCTTCGCACTTAAATCATAAAATTCAGTTCAACAGCAATGTCCCAACATAATTTTAAATTGAGCATATCCTTAGAATTTCCGATACACAGTCTCGCGCACTGCAGATAAAAATATTTTTTCTGTACAACGTTGCCATTGCTCGCTTTAAAAATTTCTCGAGTTTGTTAATAAAAAATTCGTTAAAGTTTTACAAAATATGAAATCGATTATAAAACAAATTCCAAATTTCAAATTTGGGCTTCCAGAGTAAACTTTCAAAACGTACCTTTCGCCCAGCCATAACACGCTCTAAAATCACCTTTCAGAAGCTTCGTTAAAATATCACTTCTTTCTACCTTAATTTGAATAAACGGCCGCTGTCTAATGAGATACATTCCGATGACCTCATTGATCACGTGACTTATGTATACCTTTTATAAACAAACAATGCAGATGACCTCAGAGATCACGTGACTTATGTACAGCTAATGCAACAAGCAAGGTCATTCTTCCTCTTCTTCTCTTGCGGAATGTATCTCATTAGCTTTCTAGCAGAAAAGCGTGGGTAAAACAAGAATAAAAGGAAAGTTACTTTAAATGTGGTAATACGGTATTATTATAATGCTTAAGTATGGGTGCTAGAAGACAAAAATCTTCAAAAAATGGCGATTTGGGATTTTTACATTACCAAATTCTCTACACATTTGGCTTTCGAAAAATACCACGCTGAATCTGTATGAAAATTAGAACTGTAAGAAATTTAGTTTTAATTTATCATCGAATGCTTTGATAAATGAGGATTTTTTACAGAAAAATGTGTTTTTTCTGTAAATGCGATTTTTTTTTATACAGGATGTACTTTTTCTCAGGAACTACTGCTCACAGGTATGTAAACATTTTAATATTTACTGAAAAGAGCGTTTTGTGATAAATTAAGAAAAAAATTACAAATTATATTTTGGGAGAAAAGAGATAAATATTACTATGCCTAGTACAAATATTCTATAAATTACTCTAGACTCCAAATATTTCAAATGCTCATTTCATTATTATCAGATAGGTGTATTTTAATTACACAATAAAATTCAAACGCGTATCTACACAGATTTTGAGAAAACGTATATAGAAAATTTAAATAATTAAATTTTAGATGGTAGAATCATAGCGTGTTCCGCCTGCTGAAAGTCACGTTGCTATTTCATTCTTGCGACAGCAGTTTATTTGTGACGTTGCCATTACGCTTGTCACACCGATATTAGGTCGAAACCAGCATAGGCATTTTCTGTCTATGTAGCTTTTGGCTTACTATTAACTTAGTTTAATTCAATTCATTACGTTTTTGAGTTAAGCCATAAATGCTGGCCGTTTCTGTAAGCGCAAGATGTGCCCTATGTTAATCTGGAGTTAAATATAAAAGGGTCTTTTACATCCTTCACAGCTTCTGTTGTCATTTCCAAGACACAGCTTTAAGTCACTTACGTCATAGGTAGAGTTCTCAAAGAGAACGAGACTCTAAGGAGTTATTAACGAAATGGCTGTGTTGTGTAGCTTTATGCTGTTGGTTTTAATTGATTTAATTTGATATTTAATTTTAATCTGTGTAGCTGATTTAACTTTAGATTTAAAAGTGGTTTTTTAAAAGTTATTATTCTGAGTTTCATTTATTGACCTGTTTCAAGAATTTGGTTTAAGAATTAAGGAACTTTGTTTGAATTGCAAATGTTTTATGTAATTCGTAACGGTTTTTGCTTAATTTTTCTTGTAATTTTTTTGTTTCAAAATGATAAAAATCTCATAAGTCGAAAATTACCAGCTGAGTCAGAAACTAGTGATTCATGATTTATTTTACAAAATTAGGGAAGAAAAATTAAAGCAAAAAAAACTCAATCAGCCAAGTTTTCAAGTTCAAAGAAAAAGTAAAATAATAATTAAGTTTTCCGAAAACAATTAAACCAGATAAAGTTTTCACATTCCTTTACTTATTCATTAAATTTTGAGAAGCCACTTTGAATATTTAAAAAATATTAGTTTGAAATATATCCAACAGATGGCGCCACTGATTTTATCTTCGAAAATCATAGAATTCTTTATTTGTTCAAAAACTTGTTGCTAGACATCATGCCACTGAGCTACTAAATTATTTGCAGTAATTTAGGTTAAGAAAACTACCATATGATAGGACAGATAAACGTACTTATAATAAGTAAGTTGGAGGGCTACTTGTATGAAAGCATCAGGGCTTATTTTGTGGCTTTTGATGAATTCTTTACCATATTTCTCAAAACGATGGACAAACAAATCTAGATCTTTGCACAGCCTGAAGAAGAAACAGAAAATAAAAAATCAGTAGAAAGAATTTTGTATAGGAAAAAAAAGCAGTATAGAAGATTTAATGAAAGGTGACGAACTTGTTCATTTTCTTCCCAGCTTCCTGGATGGCAGACGATATTTCATCATCTATTTCCCAGTTCAGAGAGATCGGCGGCCGTGTAGTAGAGGGTAAAGACGAGTTGGGTTGTACTTCACTGCTGTTCTGTTCCAGTGATCTGAAAAAGAATATTATTTTTTAAAATGATTTTTAATGCGAAAAAAAAAATAAAAAAATAAAGGAATGTTAACTGAAATCTTAGCGCTAATAATATAGCACTTTAAGAAGGCCACTATACTATAGTTACTGGCGCATTCGGTTATTGAGAGTAAAACATCTGTTAAAAATATACATTTATGATGCTTGTTGTTTTAGGAATAAAGATTATAGCACAAACTGAATGTAATTTGAATAACATTTAAAAATGCTTTAATTCCATTCAGAAATTTTCTGGTAAGCTTTTCAGTCAGTCGTTTACTGTAAATGCTGTTTCCTTGCATTAATGTAATTAGTACAGGTAAATTTACTCTCAAGTTTATCAGAGGGTTGTGTTTGGAGTTTTGAAGCATCTGTTGCAGTTAACAAAGCGTTCAGCAACTAAATTAACTTTGTCGAGACTTGGACGTAATCTCAAAATGTGAATCATATAACTTTCAAAGATCAGATGTTTTTACAGACGAGTTTAACTATAATACCATAACATTGGATATTAACCATATGTAAATAATGGGATCTCGAAATTACGTAATCGAGCAGGGAAATAAATTGAAATATCGTCAGAGAAAGTTTGCAATTAAGGAAATTAGAACGGAATACAAAGAAGAAAAGCAAAACAAGAAGCCGTTAAGAAAAAATCTGAAGTGGATACCAAATGAATTCCTTGAACGGCCTATTAAATTATGAACATTTTTTACTGCACTTCATCTAAAATTATATTTCTCATTCTATTAAATCGGATCTCACTTCGCCACAAAGCAAAAACGCATGAAAACTCAAAACATCTTCATTAAAATTCGTAAAGTGCAGAAAAACCTAAAACACCAAATATAGTTAAAAACAATTAAAAAACAATTTCAGTAAATAAATTTAGAATTTCTGTGGAAAAACAAGAACTTCGGCCAAGAAGGCAGAAAGACAAAATTTTCGGTGTACAAAACTGAACTTCAATGAATAATGACAGCCTCGTTAGGTCTAACGCCACATTTTAATTCTCAATTCTCGTAATTCTACAACTATTTCATGCAGATTAAATAAAGATTAATCTGAAAAGTTTCAGTTTTAAATTACGTCAAAAGGGGCGTTTTTTTAACATTTTGTGTATTTCCTTTATTTATTAAATATTATGTTCTTCGCATTTAAACCATAAAATTCAGTTCAACAACAATATCGTAAAATAATTTCAAATTGTGCATGTCTTTAGAATTTCCGATACGCAGCCTAGCGCGCTGGAGATAAAAATTATTTTTCTGTACAACGTTGCCATTGCTCGCTTTGAAATCCTTGATTTTTGTTAATCAAGAATTCCTTAAAGTTTTACAAAATATGAAATCGATAATAAAACAAATTCCAAATTTCAAATTTTGGTTTCCAGATGCTCATATTCGCAGCAGGATTACGTCATTCAAAATTGGATGGCTCTAAGTACCGTTGTTATGCGAGAAACAGACATACATTTACGCAGATTCTTCATTATTTAATTTCTTCAAATATAATACAGGGCGATAATATTTTGTGGCAACAGTTTGAAAAGTGAAACGGACATTCAGAGTGATTCGACGCAAAATCGCAAAACGAAAACAATAGTCTCTCAGGCATAAAGCTTCTTTGGACTAACAAAACTTTAACTGGAACATAAGAACAACATAATTATGTTACTTTTAAAGGAGAAGTGCACAATTTACCAATATATAAGGATTTAAAAGAAATAAATGGGGCAGTTGTATATTTTCTGTTCTACTTGGGCGACTGACAAAATTCAAATTGGGTTTTTCAAGTCTTGAAAGAGCAATTTAGGATATGTGTTATATTTATGTATAGCTTTCCTTAATAGAGGCATTTTGACACAAAATCGGACTTCTTCTGAAATGACGTGCCGATTGTTTTCCATATTTCGATTCTAGGACTCAAATTATGCATAAATATTAAATATTCCAAACTTTGGTGCGAAATTTACGGAGAAACTCAAGTATTTATCTTGGCATCAAAAATTTATCTTTTTTCAATTTGCGCCAAGAATAATTCACCTGGTGAAATTCTTAATTTAAGCATTTATCTTGGCATCAACAACTCAAGCATTTATCTTAATTATCTCAAGCATTTATCTTGGCATCAAAAATCAAGGCATCAAAAATCTTGGCAATCTTCGCATCAAAAATCAATCAAATGCTTAATTAACTCAAGCATTTATCTTGGCATCAAAAATCAAAATTTTATTTTTTTTCAATTTGCGCCAAGAATAATTCACTTGGCGAAATTTTTAATTTATAGCAACGTATTTCCTTTCACTTTGTTTAATTGTATACGAGTGGTAAAAGTCATCTTTCATACTGTTACGAATTTGGTATTTAAAAAGCTAATGTTAGTTCAATTACAAATTAAATGGTTTTATTTCTCGCGCAGTGCAGCGCGTGACGAATATTAAAAGAAAGCTAAGCCGGAAAATTGAAAATACAAGAGCGCGTGCATTAAATAAATAAATATCTCTTTTTGATTTCGAGAAAGTACTGGAAAATTCTAGCGCGTGATTTTAAAATCTTATAAAAGGAGGAAAACATCTCAGTTTGTAGTAGTAGTTGCTTAGTTTGTTGTTGTTTAGAAAACTGCTCTTGTTGATTGTAGCGAATTCGCGGATTAGCGTTCTTTAGCTGTTTTGAATTACGTTCTATTGGACATTTGAGTAGTTAAAAGATAACTACTGTGAGATATTGTAATACTGCATGATAATTTGAGAGAAAATTTAAGCATTTTTTTGTTGTGATAATAATACATTTTTGTTCATTTTTCATCGGATTTGTGCATTCATTTCATAACGAACCCGTACGCACGCAACAATTTTTGGTATCAGAAGTGGGGTTTTGAATGCCAATTACAAGAGCGATGGAAGAACAATTCAGGCAAATGATGACTGCATTTGCTGCTTTCCAAGAAAAGATGGAAGGGGCCGTCATCTCAGTTAAGGAAGAAATGAAATTGGGCCAGGAATCCGTTAAGGACGAAATGAAAACCGTTCAAGCTGGCCAAGAAGAAATGAAAAGAGAAATTACCTGCATAATCGAAAATAAATTTGAAGCTATAGAAGGCAGAATTGACACAGTTGAAAATAAAGTTTGACAAATTGAAGAAAAAGTTTCTTTCGTAAAAGATCAAATTGAAGAAAGAGTTTCTTCGGTGAAAGAAGAAATAGAAGAAAAAGTTTCTTCTGTAAAAGAACATATAGAAGGGAGAGTTTCTGCTGTGGAGGAACGAATTGAAGGAAGAGTTTGTGCCGTCCAACACCAAATCGAACAACAAATTGATGATAGGGTTTCTGCAGTTGCCAAAGAAGTTGGATACTTTAAAGAAATTCGTAGCGACGGCAGGGAACAATAGTGATGGTTTTAAATTCTTGCCGATGCCTGCTCGTCCACCTCTGAAGCTATCCACATATGATGGGAAGACCTCCTGGCAGGTGTATAAGACACAATTTTCTATCGTTGGCGGATGCGAATGGATGGGATTCCCAAGCTAAGGCCTGTCATCTCGCCGCTTCTCTAAGAGCCGACGCAGCGGATATCCTTCAGACTCTTCCCGAAAACAAAAGGTTAGATTTCGAAGCTCTGTCCGGCGCCTTGGAGCTGCGCTTTGGGGAGAAAGTGTTTAAAAGACTACAGCAGGCTCCAATTAAAATCTCGTCAACAGAAGCCTACCGAAACACTTCAGGAGCTCGCCACGGATGTTGAAAGGCTGTCACATCTCGCCTTTTCGGAGTGCCCGACAGAAACAAGGGAAATCCTGTCCTGCAATACTTTATCGACGGCATCCGGGATACCCTGAAATACAGAAAGCTCTCTACGAATGGCGGATGTAAAAGATTTAAAAGTGCTTAGTGTACGCCATGAAATTCGAGGCAGCCCAGCAAGCAACTAATAGAGATCGCTCCCAGTTAGAGCTGTGCAGTCCATGAGCCAGTGGATCAACTGATGGCTCGTTTAGATGTTAGCCGACAGGTGACGACGGAGGACGGGGCCTGGTGTTTAACATAGGTACAGGCGTGTGTCCCACGCTCTCCACTATCTGAATACACTCCCTGGGGCCCCGTGAGGCTGCCTCGGGAGTTTATAATACAGATCTAAAGATCAATACATGGCCAAACAGGGCCTGAGGATTATTGTTTGACAATGGTTGCGTGTTGCGTGACAATAACTTTGTGGGTGTGCATGGCTGTTGGAATAACACAGATACATAAAAATATACAAAACAAATACAAGAATAGATACATATACAGGCAAAAACAAACAAATTCTAACAGATACGAACATAAGGATGCATTGATATTAAGATAAATATGAAGAGAGACACATATGTAAGATACAAGAGTAAAAACAAGAGTAATAAATACTTATAAAGTCATATGTGTATTGCTGGTATCCTTGGGGTTGCAAATGTGCTGTGAGCACTTAAACACAAAGATGAAGCTATTAGTACCGGATGTCGAGTTATGGTGCCAGGAGTTAGTGTTAGAGTTCGCTGAAAGTACAGTCTGCACTATAGTTCAAATTTGCAAGAGTTCAGGCTACACTAAATTTTAGTGTACACTGTGGTACTAATAGCACTAAATTTGGAGTTTGGCACAGTCACTAAGTTTTAATGCAATTGTTATAGGTTGGTACAGTCACTACAGCGCAGACACTATGTTAGGCACAGTAATTTCAGTACACAGTCACAATGTTTGCACAGTTACTATGACTGTGAACAAGTACGGTGTAGGTACTGATCTTCACTGATGTGTGCACTAGTGCTTAGGCATAGTCGGAGTTGGTGCATGATGTATACGTGCGGTGCAATTAGATTTAGCCAGACAAGTCAGTGGCTTTGATACCGAACAGTAGCAGTGAAAAGAACCCAAAGGGCTAAAGATGCTGGACATGTGGTGTCTGAAGGTCACCTACGAGGAATTGCAGAACTCCCAGAGCACGGAAA